AGAGCCCCTTAAAAAGTCATTAATTGGGACTTGATGAAGATGGGAGGTTGTGCTGAAAGCTGTCAAGTTGACTGAGATTTTAATACAATTTAATGCCTTTTAAATGAAATCAGTTTTCAGGTTCATTTTGTTCCCAAACCAAAGTTAGCAACCTCAAGAGATCAAATGCCTATTGTGGTCTTTATTCCCTGCCAAACCTCCCCTTTGCTTCTTTTATTTATTTATTTTTTTAATCCAAAGGTATATGTTCTCCTGAATGTTAGGTTTACAACTTGGAATTCCACATCCCAGACCCATTGCTGAGAATTTTGGAAATTGAAGTCCATAGGGACCTACAGTACAACCGTTCGTTTAGTGACTATTCAAAGTTACAATGGCACTGAAAAAGTGAGCTTAGAATAACAGAGTTGGAAGGAAGTCTTCTAGTCCAACCCCCTGCTTAGGCAGGAAACCCTACACCACTTCAGACAAATGATTATCTTAAAAACTTCCAGTGTTGGAGCATTTACAACTTCTGGAGGCAAGTTGTTCCACTGCTTAATTGTTCTGTCAGGAAATTTCTCCTTAGTTCTAAGTTGCTTCTCTCCTTGATGAGTTTCCACCCATTGCTTCTTGTCCTGCCCTCAGGTGGTTTGGAGAATAGTTTGACTCCCTCTTCTTTGTGGCAGCCCCTGAGATATTGGAGCACTGCTATCATGTCTCCCCTAGTCCTTCTTTTCATTAAACTAGACATACCCAGTTCCTGCAACCGTTCTTCATCTGTTTTAAGTGACTTATGACTGCTTTTCACATTTACAACTGCTGCAGCATCCCCATAGTTACATGATCAAAATTCAGACACTTGGCAATTCATATGTATTTATGATGGCTGCAGCATCCCAGGGTCATGTGATCACTTTTTGGGACCTGACAAACAAAGTCAGCGGGGAAAACCAAATTCACTTAAGAACTATGTTACTAACTTAACAACTACACTGATTCAACAGCTGATAAGAATGGTCATAAAATAGGGCAAAACTCAACAGTCTTGGCTTAGCAACAGAAATTTTGGGCTCAGTTGTGGTTGTAAGTCAAGGAGTGCCTGAATATCTCAAGGGAACCCAGATTGGGGAAGGTCGATTTATAACTTCATCCTCCTTCAAGCCAAGATGGTGCCATCTATTTTTACAAAATAATGTAAGCTGGTTGGAGTTGCTTCAGTAAGAATTACAAGATGGTATATGTGTGTCTATGTGTATTTTATACTTGCAGAGGGATAATGCCCTGTTGTGCCAAATTCCCATCCTTTACACATCTTAAAAACATGTATTTTATGTGGATTAGTTTTTTTTCTTGGCTTGCCCTCTACGGATTTCAACAACTCAGTGAAAACAGTTCTTTAGGTTAAAAATACTTGAAGGGGGGGAAATGGGTCTTAATAATATGCTTCCTTCAGATCAAAGCCAATCACTGCATCTGCAATGCTGTATAATTGTGGGCTACAATTCACACACTCGTGCTTCCTACCCCTCTTGGAAGCTCTGAGGAACATTCCTATTTTGGGAAGTTGAAAAAACATTCTGAAAGTCAGTGCTAACCACTTGCATGCTGTTACCATGAAAACTGTACAATGATATCCATTTCTGTCTGCTCAGGATACATCCCACTGAATTTAGAATATGGCAAAATACTTGTAGAACTGCAGCCTTAATCTGTAGAAAATCTGTGAGGATGCGAGTGTCGGTGAGTGTGTGTCTTTCTCCTTCAAGTCGTGCTAGCTTTGTAAAATACCTTTCATCTCTGTGTTTGTACTCTGGTTGGCCTCCAAAGGGCATTATACTTCAACAATTTTTGAATCAAGGGTACCTAAAATCTGCTAACTTAAAAGAACGTGTAAAATATCCAGGACCCGTTACAGGTAGTCCTTGACTTACAACCATTTGTTTACTCTCCGTTCAAAGTTACAATGGCACTGAGAAAAGTGACTCATGACCATTTTTCACACTTAATGACCGTTGTAGCATCTCCGTGGTCACGGGATCAAAATTTGGGTGACACCGAGAAGTGACGTCTCCCACGCATGCAGCTCCTGTGGCATTCCCTTTGTTTTTTATAGACAATGAAATAGGAGAAATTTGTCACTTCCAGTGTCTGTGTGTTGATGGTGTTTTTACTTCCCCGTCTACATTTTGGAGGCTTCCTGGTGGCCTCATTAGGACTGGTTGACATTTTGAGGTCAGCCAATGGTAAATGCCATACAGTATTATTGCAGTCATAACCGCACTAGTGAGTTGAACTTTCAACTTTAAGAGTCCTCCAAAGAGTCCAGGTCAGTGTTGATTAGGGAATTCTGGGAATTGAAGTCCACACATCTTAATGTTTCAAAGATTGAGCTATATTAGTTTAGACCAGGGGTCTGCAACCTTAAACACTCAAAGAGCCATTTGGACCTGTTTCCCACAGAAAAGAAAACACCGGGAGCCACAAAACCCTTCCCATGCCTGACTATTTCTTGAGCGGCCACAAAACTAGCATATGTAGTTGAATTAAATGTTCTGTTTTCTTCTAAAACTTTTCTTTTTTTGGATTTATCCATGGTTGGCCTACCAGGGGTTGAAAAGCTCAATAAATCGTGTTCCAGCAGATGTCACACATTGGCGGTTGTGACGCATATTTTGAGTGACAGGGAGCCGCAGCAGAGAGGTGAAAGAACCACATGCGGCTCCAGAGCTGTAGGTTGCTGACCCCTGGTTTAGACTGTTCAAAAAGCATGCTGGACTTTTTCTGGCTGAGCCTAATGGGAGCCTAATGGGAGGTGACTGGGAAGACCTCCTTCTTTCCAGGCAATTAAATATCTTGGGCTCTTGGATTCAAAAGGGGGTTGGGGCACCTTCTACTCTCAAAATAACGGCTCACTTTGGAAGGCTAAAGACTAAGCCAAAACGGACTTCTGTCCTCTCTTCCATTACTTTTTCTATCACCTATTACCTGATGCTTTTCTGCATCATCCCTACAACCATGACTGCAAAATGGCTACTACTGTTTCATGTTAGAGTGCATTTCCCAAACTTGCCAGCATGCTGGCTGGGGGATTCTGGGAGATGAAGTCTACACATGTTTAAGATGGGCAAATTGGGTATGGATTGATAGACGATAGGGATAAATCAGGGGTGTCAAACTCACATCATCATGGCGTGACGTATCAGGACGTTTTTCCCCCTTCGCTAAACAGGGTGTGGGCATGGCCAGCGCATGATGCATCTGACCCACAGGCCAGGAGTTTGACAGCCCTGTGATAGATGAGAGATATAGATGAGAGAGAGAGAGAGAGAGAGAGAGATACACTGTAGATAGATAGATAATTGGATGGATGGATGGATGGATGGATGGATGGATGGATGGATGGATGGAGAGAGATAGATGAGAGATGAGAGATTAGACAGACAGACAGATAGATAGATAGATATAGATAGATAGATAGATGATAGATAGGAGATATAGATGAGAGAGAGAGAGAGATACACTGTAGATAGATTAGATGATAGATAGATAGATAGATAGATGGATGGATGAGAGATAGAGATGAGAGATTAGACAGACAGACAGACAGACAGATAGATAGATATAGATTAGATGATAGATAGATGATAGATAGATAGATGGATGAGAGATAGAGATGAGAGATTAGACAGATAGACAGACAGACAGACAGACAGATAGATAGATAGATAGATAGATAGATAGATAGATAGATAGATAGATAGATAGATAGATAGATGATAGATAGATAGGAGTTATAGATAAGAGAGAGAGATACACTGTAGATAGATTAGATGATAGATAGATAGATAGATAGATAGATAGATAGATAGATAGATAGATAGATGGATGAGAGATAGAGATGAGAGATTAGACAGACAGACAGACAGACAGACAGATAGATGGATGGATGAGAGATAGAGATGAGATTAGACAGATAGATAGATAGATAGATAGATGAGAGATAGAGAGATGAGAGATTAGACAGACAGATAGATAGATAGATAGATGATAGATAGGAGATATAGATGAGAGAGAGAGAGAGAGAGAGATACACTGTAGATAGATAGATTAGATGATAGATGATAGATAGATGATAGATAGATAGATAGATGGATGAGAGATAGAGATGAGACAGATAGATAGATGATAGATAGGGATGAGAGATAGAGATGAGAGATTAGACAGATAGATAGATAGATAGATAGATAGATGATAGATAGGAGATATATATATATATAGAGAGAGAGAGATACACTGTAGATAGATTAGATGATAGATAGATGATAGATAGATAGATAGATAGATAGATAGATAGATAGATGGATGGATGAGAGATAGAGATGAGAGATTAGACAGACAGATAGATAGATAGATAGATAGATGATAGATAGATGGATGAGAGATAGAGATGAGAGATTAGACTGATAGATAGATAGATGGATGAGAGATAGAGATGAGAGATTAGACAGACAGACAGACAGACAGACAGACAGACAGATAGATAGGAGATAGATGATAGACAGCTATATCACCTAGCTGTCTATCTAATCTCTCATCTCTTATCTACAGTATAAGAGATGAGAGATTAGATAGGCAGCTAGGTGATATAGACAGAAAAACAGATGTAGATAGACAGATAGACCCTTCCATCTGCTTTACCCAGTTCATGCAAAACCAGAGAACCCTACCCCTGCCCACAGATGTGATTCAACCCCACTCATTCTGCATCGCCCACCCTAGATTCATAGTTCCCTGCTGCCAAGATTGCCAACTTTTGCCTTGCTGATCAAAACAGGCAGGGAGATTTGAGTCTTTGGATTCTCTACACCTAGCGGACAGCAGACTGGACCTCCATCCTGGGATGTGGGGGGATGGGCAGCCATCTTCGGTAGACCCTCAGGTGGGAATTTTGCTCACAGATTCAAGAAGGCAGAAAGGTAAAATACATGGTGGAGAGAAAGCAAATGCGGTTTAAGCTCTTTCATCTTTCCTAATGGTCTTTATTCTGTTGAATTCCAAGCTGCTTTTCCTTCATTTTCTTCTTTTTTTTTTTTACAAAAAATAAATATACCCCCTCTCCGCCTCCCCCTCCCTTCTTAAATACATCATATAGTAGTGCATGGTTGAGTGGTGTGATGGCCTAGTGGTGAAGACGCTTGCTTCCCACTCGGAAGGTTGAGAGTTCAATCCTAGGTAGTGACAGATGTTTCTCTCTCGGGACACAAAGAGAAAATATCTGCTGCTGACTCCACATAGGCGTCAGGAAGAGCATCTGGCCAGTAAATGCTCAGCTCCATCCAGTCTCCCCGACTCTACCCTGAATGAAGGGATTATAGGGTCGTAAAAAGAAAAAAAAAATAGTGCATGGTTGATCAAATAGTCCAGAGTGGTTCCTCCTTCATGAGACGAGCATTGGCAGGAAATGGGTGGAGAGATGTTGCCAGCGGGTCTTCGTCCCTCGTCGTGGCAGTCCTTTGCTGTTGAGGGAGAGGAACATGGGTCGCCCTTCGTGGTGCCAATGGAAAGAGGCATAGGTATTGTAGCCATTCTCTTCAATACGTTCCTTGAACTTGCAGTTGGGGCTGTATGCTTTCTACGACAGACCGGTGGAGGCGAGAGAAACAGAGACAGAAAAGGAGAAATTTCATTGAATGGGCTTGTGAAGGAAAGGCGGAACTGAAAATCTGACTTACTAGATTTCTCTTGCCTTTGGGCACAAGGCAGCTTCTGTAGGGATTGCCTCCATTTTATCTCTCCCACAGTTACTTTGTAAAGTAGAACTAACTGAAAGAAAGTTATTTTCTTAGCCTTAGTCTTTCCTTAGTCTCACTTGTCTGTCTATGTCTGTCTGTCCATCCGTCCATCCATCCATATCCATTCTTTCTATATCTATCTATCTATCTATCTATCTATCTATCTATCTATCTATCTATCTATCTATCTATCTATCACACTTAGATTTATATACTGCTCCATAGTGCTTTACAGCCTTCTCTAAGCGGTTCACAGAGTCAGCCTATTGCCCCCAACAATCTGGGTCCTCATTTTACCAACCTCGGAAGGATGGAAGGATGGAAATCTCTAGAGTTTTCATTACTCTAGCATGCTGGCTGGGGATTTTTGGGAATTGAAGTTCACACATATTGCACCCAAGTTCAGCCAATTGTTTTGTTTGTTTGTTTGTTTTGCTTAAGAAGAGACTCAACCCAGGTCTTCCCATTCCTAGTTCAGAATTTTCACTATTCCTAGTTCTTGGGCTAAGAAGATAGCTATTTATGATTTTTCCAGCTGGCTTCAAACAAGCAAAGTCAATGGGGCAAGCTGGATTCACTTAACAATGGTATGATTCACTTAACAAATACAGTGATTCAGTTAACAACCGTGGCAAAAAGTTGGTAAAATCAGACACGACTCACTTAAAAACCACCTTGCTTAACAATGGAAATTCTGGTCCCAATTGTGGTTCTAAGTCAAGGACTACCTGTAATTCCCCTTTTCCCCAAAAGGCATGCAATTCCATTTACCGTTCCATAGATTTTCCCTTTTCTGTTCATCGCCAAGTAGAAGCCACTGTGGATGGATCGAATGGCCACGGTTCCCACCTGTACAGAACGGATCTCCACAATGCCTAGGGGGAAAATAGCAAAGAGGGTATGGCCCATTAACACAAATCAAGGACTTCCGAAAGCTATTGGCAGCAAAGCCTATAGCTAAAACAACCAGCAGCTGCTCCTAATATGAAAATCTCTGTGGTGTGCGTGTTTGCTTGTGCGCATCCTAGTGTAGGGGTATCAAACTCATGGTGTCATGTGACATATCGTGATTTTTCCCCCCTTCAATAAACCGGGGTGGGCGTAGCCAATGTGTGACACACCTGGCCCGTGGGCCACGAGTTTGACACCCTTGTCCTAGTGTATTGAAGGGGCTGAAGTTACACCACTCACCTTCCCAATGGAAGGTTCCATTTTTATTTCCATTTTAATTTTAATGTAGCAATTTTACACCTGGAGAATGTGACTAGGGATCAAAGAATAGAATAGAATAGAATAGAATAGAATAGAATAGAATAGAATAGGAATAGAATAGAATAGAATAGAAGAATAGAATAGAATAGAATAGAATAGAATAGAATAGAATAGAATAGAATAGAATAGAATAGAATAGAACAGAACAGAACAGAACAGAACAGAACAGAACAGAACAGAATAGAATAACAGAGTTGGAAGGGACCTTGGAGGTCTTCTAGTCCAACCCCCTGCTTAGGCAGGAAACCCTACACCATTTCAGACAAATGGTTAGCCAACCTCTCTTCAAAACTTCCAGTGTTGGAGCATTTACAACCTCTGGAGGCAAGTTGTTCCACTAGTTAATTGTCTAACTGTCAGGAAATTCCTTCTTAGTTCTAGGTTGCTTCTCTCCTTGATTCTTGTCCTGCCTTCAGGTGGAGGCTTTGGAGAATAGCTTTGGAGAATAGCTTGACTCCCTCTTCTTTGTGGCAGCCCCTGAGATATTGGAACGCTGCTATCATGTCTCCCCTAGTCCTTCTTTTCATTAAAAGATCAACTTACAAAAACCAGAAGATGGGTTTTAGAAATAGACCGTTTTACTCAGGATATGCTCCTTTCTGCTTTGAATTATTCACTTTCTCCTTGCCTCATCCCCATTGTAGCATATTTTTCAAGGTTTAAATCAGGTCCTTGATTCAAAAGACATTCCAACAGAAGAGAATATATATAGCGCAAGGTTGAAATGTGGAGTCCTTGGTGCTCTCTGAGCTTGATTGTTTGCTTGCAGATGTTTCATTACTCAATTATGTAACATCAATGTCAGGGAGTGTAGGGTTTGCACTGACAATGTTATTGTCAGCACTTCAACCTGCATTTACTCTAGTGCTGACATAAGAAGGAGAAGATGGAGCAGCTGGCAAGAGAACGCTTGACTTTTCACCTACTTATTTTCCCTGAAGATAATACCCCTAGGAGATGAGATGGGAGGGGGGACATTCCTGGAGCTGAAGTAGTAGATATGGGGAGAGTGATTTGGAAGATGGCCAATGAGACAGAGAATTGGGGAACGGAAAGGGAAGGTTTGGGGTCAGGAAGTCAGTGTTGGCTATGACATAACTGGGACAGATTGTCGTGCTTAATAAATGAAAGATTTCATCAAAGATTATCTGTTTGGAAATGCAATTTATTTGAGACGACATCGAAACCTAACAGTTATCTAGTAGGATAATGAAAAGTTTGCAAGCAAGCGACCAAACTCAGAGAGCACCAACTACTCCAAAGTCATGACATGCTTGTAGGGTACACTTAAAATCTGTGAACAAGACCTCTGAGGCGCAAGTCAATGTGTCAATAGCAGAAGCTCAAAAACATGTACATTTCTTCTTACTTGTGTAAACTTCTTTTTCCTCTCTTGGTTACGGTTAACTAAAAGATGTAACTTTAACACAACCTGCTCCCCCCTCTTTTCCTTCTTGGTCCATTCCCTGTCTGGAGAAGCTTGCTTGATAAAGGACTGACTGATTGCAGGACCAGACCACAGTCTAGTTTCAGTAGATTGCATGAAAAGCTCATAGTGCTTATTTCATTATGTGAACTCGATCAATGGTAGTTTTTTCAATCATGGTCAAGCAAATCACAGTGCACAAATAGGTGACGAGGCTCGTTTAGCCGAGGATTTTCTGATAGAAACTTTTCCTTTAGGCTGTAGATCTCAAAGGTGCTTTTTCAAGAAGCAACTGGACTTCCTTGTTTTTCTTGGAAGCCATTTTGCTTCTCATCCAAAAAGCTTCTTCAGAGCTTCTTGGATGAGAAGAGAAACGTCTTCAAACTGGCAGGTTTCACTAATGATGAAATACTGTAGGAGAAAATATATTTTGCTAACCAGCGATTCATAAGTTGTTGTTTTCTTGGTCTGAGAGGATAACTGACTTCTTTTTTTCCCATGGAGCCTTCCTCCAGAGAAGTGAGTAAAGCAAGTACAAAAAATAAATTTCAATTAAAATTAGATTCTTTTTCTATGTAATGCTACTATCACTGGGGGAAAAAAACTATTAAGAAACCAGTGAAGGATTATCTCATTTTATACCTTAAAAGATCTCTGCTGCTGATTTTAAGCAGAGTTTTAGATTTCACAGCAAAGAAAACTTCAGAAGAATGATCTTAATCTGAGGAAAGCGTTTTGAAAAGAAGTTTCAGTTAAATTAGACGGACACCAAAAAAAATTAATTCAATCCATTTGGATCTGAACAGAGACCACGATTTCTTGCCTGCCTCGGGAATTAATGTCTGTAAAGAACTTCATTCCACTTAAAACTTGAGAATCAGAATTGAAATGAAGGCGCTCACATTGTTTTTAAAATGTCATTGCTATGTCACACTTATCTATTTTTAATTTAAAAGATTTGTTTAGCTGCCTATCTTTAAACAACTCTGGGCAGTTTATAGCAATAAAATTATAAAAACCATTAAAAAGAACCCCAGAACCTTGATCCATCTCCTAGGGTGCCTCAACAACTCTGTGCAGGCTCTACTGTTGTCCCCAAAACCTGAGTAAAGAGTCAGGTTTTCATGGCCTCCAAAGAAAGGTTGAGAAGATTGGGACCTGCTGAATCACTGGGAGAAGTTTATTCCATAAGGTAGGGCCAGCCACGGAAAAGACATGCTCCCCAGGTCCCACTAGATGGCAATGTTTCAGGGAAGGAACTTAAGAGTATGCCCATCTCATCCGATCTAGTGGGATGGGATGGTACCAGTGGTGGGTTCCTCCCAGTTCGGTCCGGTTCGGCAGAGCCGGTAGCGGTGACGATATGATGTCACTCGACCGGTTCTCCCCCCGCCCCCCCCACCCACGTTATTCTTACCTTTTATTTGGTCCTACCCCCAATCTATTGCTGCCTCCTGAGTCCCAGCTGATGACTAGAGGGGGAAAAAACTGTTTAAACTCTTGCCGCGGGGCTTCAAAGGGCCATCCTACAGCTGATCAGTGTTAAAAGCAAACAAATGAGTCGGGTCGTAAGTGCGGTAAGTGCGAGGACTGGTCGTAAGTGCGAGGACCTTCCAGAAATGACTCTGACCAGCTAGCCACGCCCACCTAGTCACATGACCTCCAAGTCACACCCACAAAATAAGCCACGCCCACAGAACCGGTAGTAAAAAAATTTAGAACCCACCCCTGGATGGTACCCTCAGGGAGAGGCGCTCCTGCAAATAACCTGGCCCTGTGCCACACGGGGCTTTAAAGATGATGGCTAGCACCTTGAATTGCACCTAGAAAGCAACTAGGAGACTATACAGCTTGCACAACATGGGTGAACATAGAGGTGCACGCATCACTGTGTTCTGGATCACTTGTAACTTCTAGTTGGTCTTCAAGGGCAGTCCCATGTAGAGCACATGGCAATAATCCAGGGGGGGGGGAAGCAAGGTATGAGTGACCAGGAACAAGGCGTCTCAGTCTTTGACAGTCCTTCGCTTGCGCAAATATATTAAACAAGAGTATTCAAGATGCCACAGAATACATAACTGCGACATGCCCAGAGATGTTGAGAGCTGAGGTGGGGGGAGACTTTTTTGGATAGCAATGCGTCCTTGTGGATCCATCAAGACAGGGAGAGAATACTTCTCCGTACCGTACTCCTACGAGGCTATTTGCCAGATAGGTGCAATTATGTCAGCTTCTTCCTGTTTTGCCCAATAGTTTACACCTGAAACAGGAGGATAACACCAATAACTGGTGCAATATAATAATTTTTTTTTTTTAATTTGATTTATATGCCGCCCTTCTCCGGAGACTCAGGGCGGCTTACAGTGCGTTAAGCAATAGCCTTTATTCTTTTGTATATTTTATACAAAGTCAGCTTATTGCCCCCACAACTGGGTCCTCATTTCACCTACCTTAGAAAGGATGGAAGGCTGAGTCAACCTTGAGCCTTGGAGAGATTCGAACCAGCATAAATTGCAGGCAGCTGTGTTAATTACAGGATGCACTAAACCCCTGTACTATCAAGGCTCCTTAATAACTTTATTGTCATTGAATGTGTATACACAGTATACCAGGGGTGGGTTCTAATTTTTTTTACTACCGGTTCTGTGGGTGTGGCTTATTTTGTGGGTGTGGCTTGGAGGTCATGTGACTAGGTGGGCGTGGCTAGCTGGTCAGAGTCATTTCTGGAAGGTCCTCGCACTTACGACCAGTCCTCGCACTTACGACCCGACTCATTTGTTTGCTTTTAACACTGATCAGCTGTAGGACGGCCCTTTGAATCCCCACGGCAAGAGTTTAAACAGTTTTTTTCCCTCTAGTCATCAGCTGGGACTCAGGAGGCAGCAATAGATTGGGGGTGGGACCAAATAAAAGGTAAGAATAACGTGGGGGGGTGGGAGGGCAGGGGGGAGAACCGGTTCGGTGACGTCATGTCGTCACTGCTACCGGCTCGACCGAACCGGGAGGAACCCACCACTGCAGTATACCATACAACAAAATTCACTTAACACCCAAAGACCAGGTCCAACACACACAACAATCCCCAAACACACTCCCACCCACCACAATTCCCCACCCCTAAACCACCCAGACATCCACACAACAGACCAAGTAATGCTGTCCCAACAGCTCACTGATGGTGGCCCTTTAGTTCATTGTTGAGTGCAATTATAGCTCTGGGATAAAAACTATTCAGAATACAATTGTGATTGTATGGAGAGTAGGGGAGGAGGAGATCTTGCTTGATGGATGGTGTTACACTCCAGTCTGCAAGAACCCCAAATCCAAAGCAGTGTTGAAAGAATACCTGGTTAGATTCTTGCTGCAAGAGGTTTACAATCCACCGATAGCTAATTTCATGCTGGAATGTATGCCACCTTCCGTGTGTATTTACAACCGGTAGGACAGCTGACTGAAAAGCATCCTTAGGAGATAAAGCATGCTCTTCTGCCCAAAGAGGGAAGCACAGTCCAAGTTTGTCACTGCCCAAAGGAGGCCAAGAATAATGTAGGCTGGCTGGGATGTCATTTGTGCATAGAGAGAGAATGGACCCTGAACTGTGCAGCTAAAGGAAAAGATGAGTTTAGAAGTGGGATGAGGAGCTAGACTGAACCAGGAATTTATTCAGTCTAGAAATAGACCCTGTTATGAACACAGATAAGCCTCAATTTACAACCGGTTACTTAGCAACCGTTCGAAGTTATGAAAAACCTCACCAGGGCTACTTACAAATTGGATAAGAAGTTCTGATGGCCACCCCTCCACAGTCACATGATCACATTTTGGGCATTCAGCAACCGGTGGAAATTTACATATGTTTGCAGTGTCCAGAGGTCATGTGACCGCAGTGTTTTGTTTTGTTTTGTTTTGGCCAGAAACTGGCATTTACTTCTGGTTTCTTGCAAAAACGCCCATTGCAGAAAAATGGATTCACTTAATGACTGAAGCATTCCCTTTATGATGGTGGCATTCACTTCACCACCATCACCAGCACAAAGGTTGTAAAACTGGACACTGTCACATGGTGACCCACTTAACAACCAGCACATAATTTCAGGCTCAGTTATGGTTGTAAGATGAGAACCACCTATAGAATCACAAAAGACGTAGAACTGTGGCGCTGTAAGGATCATCTAGTCCAGTGTTTCTCAACCTTGGAAGCTTGAAGATGGATGGACTTCAACTCCCAGAATCCCCCAGCCAGCAGCACTGGCTGGGGGATTCTGGGAGTTGAAGTCCACCCATCTTCAAGCTACCAAGGTTGAGAAACACTGATCTAGTCCAACCCTCTGCAGTGTACAAGAAAATCAGTTAGAATAATAAGAGCCGTAGTTTCTGTTTTAATTTTACAATATGAAAAACTGTGACAGTGACAAGGACAATTGAGGTCATGCAGACAGATTTATTCACTGATGAGTAATCCCTCACAATTTGTCTCCAAAAATCTGACAGACTTTCCAGGTTTCGTTTATTTCACAACTTCCTGAACTACTGAAATTGTACCAAGCTTGTTGGCAAACATTTTTTTGACGGAATCTGCCAATGACATCATCTTAAGAAGTTTACTCCAAATACCTGTCTAATGCTCAAGGAGGACTAGAAGATTTTCTATCTGAGTAACAAAGATAGAGGTTCTTGATAAGTACCCAGTCACTTCCCAGCATCAAATATCTTTGGCTGGGGAGAGGGGGGGGCAGTGAGTGATGGAAGCTGTAGTTCAACACACCTGTTGGAAGTTTGTAGAGATTCTCAGTCATCCAGGTCATAATTGTCCTACAGGTGCTTTTTCAGGAGGCAACTGGATTTTCTTATTTTTCTTTGAAGATGTTACACTTCTCATCCAAGAAGCTTCTTCAACTCTGACAGGATAATGGAGAACGGAAGAATTTATATTCCTTGCAGATAGCTGGTCATTTGCATCCTTTTAGAGGATCGTTGAATCACTTGGATATCTGGTTCCATTCCAGAGAAAAAAATTGCAGACTATAGGAACCAGGCACACTACTCAGGTGACCCTGAGGACACAGATAAACTTCCAAGTGCTTCAACGACCCGCTGCCCACAAGGATATATAAATCCTTCCATTCCTCACTATCCTTTCAGAGCTGAAGAAGCTTCTTGGATGAGAAGCAAAATGTTTTCAAAGAAAAAAACAAGTAAGTCCAGTTGCCTCCCGAAAAAAGCACCTTTGGGACAATACACCTGTTGGGTACCAGTTTGGGGAAAGATGAGTGCGACTTACTGTTCAGGCTCTCTTTCCGACGTGACCCTTCGACTTTCCCATCACCGCCAATGCGTAGGAAGAAATGATTGGAGGAATAGAGACGCCGCCAGCGTACATCACCTTCCAGGTGGTGGTAGCTCCGTGCGTGCCGGTGAACCTCGGGCCAGGGACACGTGATGTCTACCTGCCGAACGGAGTCTCTGGGTTCCCTGGCTGATGTGACCCACAGGAAGGTCATCAAGGAGAATCCCAAAGTCCAGCTGGTTAGTGGGTTCCACCAACCCATGGCCCTCTAGGCCGCCTGCCAGGAGAATCGGTTCAGCTTCCAGAGGGGCGAAGACAACCATGTGGCTTCACGGTGTCAGCTGGAGAGGAGCTTAGAATAAATCCACAGGTCTCAGGGCCGTCACCCCAAGGAGCCTCTTCCAGGTGGGGCCATGGTAGAAAAGTCTTTTAACAAAATAGGCAGGAGACTGGATGGGATGGCTCGTCAGTCATCTGGTCAAAGTTCTCAGCAGGTGCAAACAAGAAGAGCATCAAATATTCAGGGAGTCGTGCAGTCACCTCCGATACTCAAGTTGTGATTTTAGCCCGGCTTTTCAGCCAAGATCAGTCTAAGGGCTCCAGGAAAGGGCTAAGAGGATCCTGACAGCTGAACCAGCTGTACCGCAGAGAGAGGCGTGGAGGTGCTACCTAATGCTAGCCGGTTTTAATACTGACACAAGAAGAAAAATGCATACCTATGTTTGTTTCCTCCTGCTCCCCAGAAAGGGGGAGTGACTGAATCTGCCTCCAACCAATAGCTAAATCCCAAAGGCGGAGCCAAGCATGAGTCTCTTCCATTCATAGGTCTCTTTCGGAATCATAGCTTATAGGCAAGAATGGATGTGAATGGAACAGATGCAATTACTGTAGAACAGAGTATCTCAACCTTGCCAATGTTAACACGGATGGACTTCAACTCCCAGAATTCCCCGGCCAACATGTGTTGAGAAACACTGCTGTAGAATTTCAGCTAAGTGAAATTCTGAAATTTTAACTCCGTCAAAGTCTGTCCCTCTGTTTTCTGATGGAGGGATTCCCTAAAAAAAAACAGGCTAAGGAATTCTTGCAAGAGAATTGGTTTAAAAATACCAAGAACAGATTATGGATGATCTGAATGTCCGAAGAGCCTCCTGGAACTGACCATAATGGACCAACATTTTCTTTTCAAATAAGAGTTAGTGACCATCATTTAAAAAAGGTTGGTCACATGAGTGATGACTCACAGCTTATGACCATGATGGGCAGGCTCCATTACGATCGTAAATTGAGGACTACCCATAATTACAAACTATGGCTTAATGTGTTATGTCAGTTTAGGCAATTGTGGATTATTCAATAATAATAATAACCAAAGACTGACTTAATGCAATGAGTGAATTAGGTCTCACATGCAAATGAGCTCAATCAATTTTTTCACTCAGCCTAACCTTCCTCACAGGATTGTTGTAGAGATATTTATACTGCTTTAAGTGCCTGGGGGGAAGGAGGGAGGGAAAAAAGGACATCAAGGCATCCATTAATAAACGGCTTAATTATTTTGTTATCTGCATAGGGGTGGTTAGCTTGACAAATTCTGCATTTAGAGCCAGGTGCTCTCTTTTATTTCAGGCTGTGACTAAGACAAAATAAGAGAAACTAACAAAACTTCGGCAGTTTTGCTAGCATCTCTACCTTTTAAGTTGGAGTTGAGATGGAATCATTTAGGACAACTTTACAACGTGGTCCTGGATCGCAGCCCTCAGCTTCACACCTTAAAGCATTGCCATGACCCAAATCCCCAATTTCTCTCTCCTGAACCACTTTAAAAGGAGAGGGAAACAAACAAACAAACAAAAAAAAAAGCAGAGGAACCCCGATATTTATGGAATGTGACCGATCCAGTCTGCTGCATTGTTTTAAGGTCACACTGACCCTGTTTGCTCCTAGAAGAGTTGAGAGCACCACCCGGGAAAAATATCTCCCGTGCTGTGCTTGCAATCATTTCTGGGAGGAGAAGAAACAGGCTACAGGGCTTTGACGCAACCTGGATTGGTTTTGAAGCTGGAGTTAGCCTCCAGCATCAGCCTGGCAGAGGAATTTTTTAAAGAGAAGCCTAAATGGAATTTACACTGTCCCGAGAAACAACAGCCAAATGTTGAAAATGGCAATTTTGTACTTATGGTACGGATGGATCCTCCGCGAATAGTATGTAAGTCAACGTCTCTCAAACTTGGCAATTTTAAGATGTGCGGACTTCAACTCTCAAAATTCCCTGGCCAGGGAATTCCGGGGATTGGAATCCGCACTTCTTAAACTTATATCTTAAACAGACACAATACATCCAATCTTAAGATCTTCTAAGCGGGGAATAAGAATTGGATATGAATTACCAGCTTTTGAAGACGGTAAAGAAAGGTGTTAACCATGTTTTCAGTCCATCAATCAAACTGGTTCGGCAAATAAACTAAAACTTGACCCACTTTCAGAGTTTCGAAAGGGAAAAATATATTTGTTTTTTTTTCTTCTTTGATATTTCAGTGCTCGCAAACAACCTATCACAGAAGAGAAACTGGGCATGAATTTTAGGAGAAGCAGAAACTCTTTTTAACTTCCTGCTACTTTTAATCCATGCCAACGTCTCTTGGATTTACTGATATAAACACTTTGAACACTTCGTTGACTCTATAGTGCTTGTCATTCTCCTGGGGATGTGTGAATTGCCCCCACCCCCCCAGCTATAGAAATACATACAACTTTTTACCCTGAGGGTTTAGAATCAAAGCAAAAAAATTCTTGACGTAGTTTTGGGAATCGACTCCTAGATTGCAGAATGATGGAGCTTAATTCAGAATTATCTACATTCCAACAGGTCTACAACATTACTTTAAAATTACAAACAATTTGGCAACAATTCTGAGCGGTGATTTCATATTCTATTTTGGGCTTCCTTGTTGCATTTCATCTGTCTAGAACTGTGTCACCACAGCCTCACTCCTGCTTAACTCGTTGGCATCCCACAAGTGTTGCAAAACTGGAGGCTGTTTTTCACCAGAGATATTTTTCTGGAGTTTTTATTTTCCATCTAGTTCCACCCCACCAACCCCCAGCTTCAAACTAAAACATATTCTAAGCTAAGGAGGCAGAGAGGTAATGTTTCCCTAGCTCTGCATCTTTTTTAAGGTGTGTGGACTTCAACTCCCAGAAAACTTGGGATACTGACTAGGAGATTCTGGTAATTTTCATGCTGGCTGGGGAATTCTGGGACTTGAAGTTCATACAGTTTAAAGTTGTAGTGGTTGAAAAACACTGCTACAGACATTAAATATCAGAGGCATTTTCTTTGGGGGTCCCCCAGCCTCATTACCTGTTTTTTTGAACAAACCTAAAGGTAGGCCTCAACTTACGACCGCAATTGAGCCAAATTTCCATCACTAAGCAAGACAGTTAAATGAGTTTTGCCCAATGGTGAAATCCAAATTTTTTTACTACCGGTTCTGTGGGTGTGGCTTGGTGGGCATGATGTCACTTGGTGGGCGTGGCTTGGACACGGCAGGGGAAGGATACTGCAAAATTTCCATTCCTACCCCACTCCAGGGGAAGGATACTGCAAAATCCCCATTCCCACCCCACTCCAGGTGAAGGATACTGCAAAATCCCCATTCCCACCCCACTCCCAGGGAAGGATACTGCAAAATCCCCATTCCCATTCCACTCCAGGGGAAGGATACTGCAAAATCCCCATTCCCTCCCCACTCTGGGGCCATCCAGAGGTGGTATTTGCTGGTTCTCCAAACTGCTCAAAATTTCCGCTACTGGTTCTCCAGAACCTGCTGGATTTCACCCCTGGTTTTGCCCCATATTACAACCTTTCTTGCCAGAATAATTACGGTTTTCCCAAAAATAAGCCCTAGCATGTTTTACACATGCATCTAAAATAAGCCCTACCCCCAAAAATAAGCCCTACTTAAGAGCCTGTGTAGCCGTCCAACAACCCATTCTGTCTGGTTGCTCGTGGTGTCGTGGCCATGAGGCCGTGTGTGTGTGTAGAGCTGCCCCACATGGGCTTACCTCAGGGCCCCCGCAGCCAGGCCATCCATGCCCTGACACCTGCCTCACGACGGCAGCACCAGTAGCAGGAGCCCGCGTGGCCACTGTCCCACTTCTGCTTGCTCGCAGGCACAACAGAGCAAGAGGCTGAGTGGTGTGCTGGTACCACAGCCGCGAGTGAGCCAGGTATCGGGGCGTGGATGGCCTGGCTGTGGGGGGGCCCTGAGGTAAGCCGGTGTGGGGCACATGGGGCAGCTCCACCCCCCTGCCTCATGGCGGCAGCACTGGCACAATGTGAGGCCTCCTGCCCCGCCATGAGTAAGCAGAAGTGGGCCTGCCGAACATGGAGGGGGGGAAATAAGACACCCCAAAAAATAAGACCTGGTCTTATTTTCAGGAAAACACGGATAGGTGAATCCCTGCCGTTGTTAAATTAATAACATGGTTGTTAACTAAATCTGGCTTCCCCATTGATTTTGCTTGTCAGAAGCTCAGAAAAGGTGAGTACATGACCCCAGGACACTGCAGCCATCATAAATATGAACCAGTTGCCAAGCATCCAAATTTTGATGACATGACCATGGGGATGCTGTAATGGTTATAAATGGGAAAAACAGTCATAAGCCACTTTTTTCAGTGCCATTGTAACTTTGAACAATCACTAAAAGAGTGGTTGTGAAACGAGGACTATCTGTATTTACTGAGTATACAAAGTTAGTACAATATAATATGCTAAGTCCTCCCCACCCACCCGAAAAAGATCTCCCACTTCTATCAAGCTTGGTATGTTGATGCAACATAAATGCAACTACCAGGTCTTTTAGCACCTTATTTAAATCAGATCCGCATTTTAGACCTTTGAAAAAGACTATTTTATTTATTTATTTTTAAACGGGGAGAAGAAGGAGGAAGAGGAGGAAACTGGCATGTAAAGACAAAAGATTTTTATTTCTAGTTATGCTTTGGGATTATTACAGATTATGTGGAATCCAAACATATTCGTAACTACTGTCTAGGGCTTTGTTAGGAGATCTGCCAGTCTGCATGTGTGTGCGAGCACGTACGCACACACACACACGCCAAGCTAAGCTAAAAGGTCCGACACAAGATTTCTCGTGTTAAAGACATGTTTAACTGTCAGGGCAGCCATCACCGCAGGTCTTTTATTAAACACCGAGGCCCTCTTAGCAGTCAGCTGCCCAGCCTGCCCGATGCCTCTGCATTTCAAATAAACCCACCAACCCGAGTTGCGGGTCCTTGGTGTCAACATTTGAGTCCGAAAGAAAGAGGTTCTCCGATTATTCGTCAGCAGATTTCCACAATTCCACAATGTATTTCTTCCGGTGGCTGTGCGTCACAAAGATTTGTGCATGCCTGCTTTTAAAATTTTCAATTCGTTTCCTGAATCATTCCTAACATTTCCTAGGAGGGTGAGGAACCAACTTAAGAGACAAACAGGGCTTTGCATATTTTTGCCAGCTCATCCTCAGCTGGCTCAGCAAAAGTTGAGTTTTTACAAACAGGAAGGACTCATTTTAGCTGTCCTTCAATTACTCCTTTCGAAACCGTATTTGGTGGCCCTAAGAATCAAGATTTCTCTTTCCCTTTGGATGTTTCTCACATCTCACTGAAG